GTGCCTTACTAGTAGTAACAAGAAGCTACTAGTAACAAGTGCCTTACATGTGTTCGACTTCTTCCGACCTCCCAGTCAAAGTCACTCCAGCTGGTTCTCCAGTCTGCGACTTTGGAGTCTTGGCGAGTAGCCTCGATGTGTGGGAGGTGTGAGTCGCCATTCCAACTTGATCAGTCACATGTATCCATTCCACATCTTCTGTATCGACTCCAAGAGCTAGTCAGACATGTGCCTAGGACTACCATAGCACCTCCACTACCAAAGGTCATAGAGTCATAGAGTATCTAGAGTCCCCTCGTGGCAGTGAGTGGATTTAATCACAGGTGGATTGTCAACACAAATTTGCACAGTTAAGCTGAAAACATCAAAAGCATAAAGACATTGCTATTAGGTTGGAGGCGATTGCTACTAGGTTGGAGGCCATCGCTATTAGGTTGGAGGCCATCGCTACTAGGTTGGAGGCCATTGCTAATTAGCACATACAGGTAGGTACCCCCTTGATTACAAAGGAACTGCCCTGATCCCTTCCAAGTGACTTTCTGTACATCAAGTGGTGGCGTCGCACCTCATAACCCAGTCTGCGCACTTCCAAAGGTGGTGTAAGCAAATGAGTAGCTGAGCTCATCTGTAGTGAAATACTCAAGTAGTTTGATCAATATTATATATATATATATTGTCAATATCCACATTGTCAGCTCTATCTCAGGTGTCAACCAATCTCGACAATTCGTACCTCCGGTTTGAGACAACTGACAAAAGACTGGAGATGGGAGACCTTCGCCAAGAACCCTGAAGATGCCTCCCTCAAGGACCCTGCAAATTCATCTTCGCCGCAAGTCATGAGCTGCCATTTCAGTGCAGTTTTTCTTTCAAGGCTGGCCACTGGGAATCTTTAGATGACAGGAAGTCTCCTGTGGAAGCGCAAAGCCGTGAGCCCAAGTTACACGGTAAGCGCCCTCATCGCGGAAGGCCAAGCAGGGTGTCAAGCGTCTGCCCTGCCAGAAAGTCGGCAGCGTTTGCTTTGGAGGTCGGAACTCTGGCTTCCAGAAGTCCTTACTACTAGCGTGGCACTTGTTACTACTAGCGTGGCACTTGTTACT